ATTCACTCAAAAAACTTCGGAACGACTTCAGGATATGATTACTGTTGTCCGCTAAACATGATTATAAGACCGAAAAAATTAAAACGTACATTTTTATTAATAGGTTTTCCAGAAGCCCTGTTTGAAAATCTTAGGGTTCCTACAGATATAGAATAGCTTAAATACTATACATTCTGAAGTTTTGAAGTTGTTCCGAAGTTTTTTGAGTGAATGGTGAATTTTTTAATAATAAGTGAAAATCGCCTGAAAACCCTAATTTTCGTAAAACTCACTTTTTGGTAGAGTTTTGAAATTTTTTCTCAAAACAAACATTGCCACAAGACTCAGCATGATCGATTATCCATAGTTCGACTGTCTTCAAGGCTACCAATAGTCACCGAGTGCCAGTCCTGGGACTCGTAGGAAATGCGATACAACGCTCGAACAGCGGAAAATCAAGGTCTTGCTTGACTCCTATTTTGAAGAAGATCCTCCATATTATCAGCCAATGAAAAAAATCAATACAGTCCTACTGGAAAACGTTTACACGCGGCCTAGTTTTCAAAGGCCTCCTGGAGAACAATTTTGATCATGAAAGCATGCCTTCAAGTCTCCTCTTTCAAATGGTGAAAACCGCAACGTTTTATCTCTTTTCGTTCTTGAGTTATTCAAAAAATAGCCATGTACGTTTTTTTAAACAGACAGTAGTTTACTTTTTATTGCTCTATTTATAGTTTCTTTGTGTTGTTGTTTGGCTCGAGGCATTGTTATCATAGGTCGCAGACCTTTACCCTACTCTTACTTTTTGTGAATAAATGATTCATTCATTCATAAAAGATAGTTGGGTTTACAAAGTAAGCATTTTTAATAGAAACAAATTGTCTGTTCAACGCAAGAACTACATCGATCTATATATGGAACAATACACATTCAATTAAAAATATCGCAATTAAACTTTCGCAGGACAAATGAAATTTCTACTAACATAACCTATTCTATGCTGGTCTATATATATATATAACATGACTCACTACGATTATTGACCTAGATTTTTCTATTGGTTTTAGAAATGAACTAATTATAGCCGTGGAATATTGTTAAGGAAAGTGTAGATCAGATAATGGCGCTGATGTGATAGTTGTTCAAACTCATTCAAAAATCAGATCAAATATTGAAGCACTTCCATAAAATTTTAACTCAGATAGTATCCTACTCCATAGAGTTTGAGCACTGTACCTAACTAAAGAACAGACTGTTTTTGTGCGGTAGAATTGAAATCTCGTATCACGTGATTTACTCTACCAAATCGTGTGTTCGAGTAAATAAAAAATGTAGTTTTCTCCATAATTTTCATGTACATCAAAAAATTAAGAGTGTCAAGCGCATAAAGATGTTGCAGGTTTTTTTTCTTTTACACAGTCAAGTTGTGTTGTTGTGGTACTTTGTTTTTTTCTGAAATAAAATTGGATTTACTATTTACAACGTGTTTTAATGTCTACCGTGCAATTTGGTCTTTACTAAAGATAGGCAGTGATTCAAAATCAGTCGAAAATATGACCGTTTGTATTCCTTAGTGTAACGTAAATAAATGTAATCGTCAAAAAAGACATTGGTGTCGACTGAATTCATTCCATTGGTGACAAAACACGTTTTAAGCATTAAAACTAGCATCTATCACTACACTAGAAAACGTTAAGTATTCACTGTTTCGACACTTTTCTGTATTTGATCCTTTTCGAATTTATAATGTTGCTGTTTTGAATTTTTTTGTGAACGTTGGGCTGTTGACTCAAAAACACTACAAGAGGCACGATTTTCTTCATGTGATAAATCTCTGGGGTCTTTTTTTCTTCAATTTTTTACTTAAGGAACTTTTTCCGTGATATGAAACAGTTTAACAAAGCGGAATACTTTTCTGATATGTGAAACACCAGCTATAATGTCAGCGGTACTTCTCGGTGGAACACCTGCTGAAGGAATACCGCTCGAAAGTGCTTGTCATTATCGATACAAAGACGCTTGTCTAACCTGTTTTAATATTTGAATCTTAGTTCACGTTGATGTGTAATATTTTGTTGGGCTCATTCTCTTTTCATTATTAATTATAAACATACAACTTACAGAAATTTGCTTTGAACAATCTTTTTTCTTTTATTATTTCTGGTGTCGGTAGTAATGTTGATAAGATTATTTTATGGCCAATAGTATTCTAGTACAGGTAGCTTTTTTCGTTGAAAGTATTACTCATTTTCACATGTAAATATCATCTATGAAACAAATGAGATTTAAATGCCGTGTGTAGACTGAGTAATTTAAACATGTGACAAATGATGACAAGCCCGATGAGTCTTGTAAATCACCATAAACTTCAAATGTTACATAAACATAGATACTATCCAAATTAAACATGGATAAGTTTATGTAGTCAGGCAATTGTGAAACTGAACAAAAATAAACAGAAAAAAAGTAAATATTTGAACTTAGATAAAGGTTCCTAGGTCAAAGAAGGGAGCCCAAATGCCGAAAAAAACATGTCTCTGATTCTTTGATTATACTTTTTGTCACTTGATATTGTTTACTGAGGTCAAGTGTAATTAATTGTAGGCTCATTTGTGAGAATTATCGATTTGTAAACATCGAAATGGTGTATCGCAACTGTCGACTTGTTTTGTCAAATCTTAACTGCATTCATGTAAATAATTTAACCATACACCTTTACCATACGCCATAGTCTCTACTGTAAAAAAAAACAATTTTTTGGATACTCTAAATACAAAATTATAGAAACGATTTGTTTTAGTGTTTTTTGCTCGATCGTAATAATCAAAACAAATCCGAAAAGTGATTTCAATACCCAGAAGAGTTTACAATTAGGAGCGATGTGTTTGCAGTCTGCGTTAAAATTTGCTGATATGGAATCTCTAGAAAAACATAACTTTAGATAATCAAGTACCTGGGTTCAATCGGAAACCTTTTGTACACAACACAGTCGTATCGAACAAAGTTACGAACACGCTCTTCCGGGTATTGAAATCACTTTTCGGATTTGTTTTCATTATTACAATCGTGCAAAAAACGCTAAAAACAAATCATTTCTATAATGCTACACAGGATTGTATATATCTTACATTCCTACTTACCGCACGGCGTTTAAGAATGCATGCGAAAATATCCGACACAGCATGCGCACCTAGAATAAAATTAATGTTCTTTTCTCTTCGCCGAAGGATCAAAAGATGCCTAACGCCTCTTTTAAAACGCCTAAGGATCATTTGTTGTTGCGTTATTCTCACCTTTATGTAGACAACTGATGAGTTCAACTCTTGTATCACCATCGAACACTTGGCAGCTTGCCCAAGCGTATCGCTGTGACATTTTTGACACAGTAATTTGAGCTTTTCTCAAAAAATGTAAGAACTAGAAACTTCGCTCTTGTGTCAGTCGACGCAGCTCGCCATACTCTACTTTTGGTATAAAAATGAAGGTATGTGGTTAAAGACGTACCGAATTTTTAGAACCGTTTTTGGCGCATGACGCTATGACAAAAAAAGGCCCTAAACTCGAAGTTCTTCTCATTAAAAGCTAATTTGCTGCGAATTTAGAAGAACTAATAAAAAGTGCCTCGAGCAAAGTTTGTAGAGGAGTAAACGATCTACTGATTGCTAAAAAAGAACCTTTCCAATGAGCTCTCCATTCCTCAATAATTGTGTTTTAGCGTCGTGACACTGTGACACACGTTTTTCCCAACAAAGTTTGGAGCACTAAACATTGTTCAAAGGACTTCATTTTCATATCGGACTTAGTTTTAGGCATCTTATATAGCCTAACATGAAAATAAAGCTGAAAAAATGTAATCAGCGCCCAAAACTGCATCTAGTGATATGCTCCTGTAAAATAATTTTTTCAAAAACTTGATCAGCGAAGTCTCGAGTGACGTGGACAAGCGGTTGGTTACCCATTGATTAAGACGATCGCCTCGATTCTTTGTTATCGAATCTGTTATACGAATAGGATGATAACATCAATTTGTAATCAATTGTCGTTGAACTAACAATAACATTCTTTTGTAAACATGTTTGCGAGAAGATGATGTGAGTAAAGTCTCGGATAGAACATCGGAATATTGTTGAATAATATCTTCCAGTATTGTGGCAATGTAATAAGAACAACAACAAATTAAAAGTGATATAACTGTACCTTGTTTTAATCTGGTACATCAGCCTTTGCCGATATTGAGATTTGCATCTCTTGGCTGACATGTCGTTTTATATCGAATGGAAACAGTAAACATGCGTTTTTTTTTATACAGTGTATAGTCTCCCTCCTGCTATTAGAGGTACTTAGTGAATCACGCGTAATCAAACATTCTGAAATCAAAATAAAAACATTTTTATTTACAAATACTCTGATTTTTCAATAGAGAGAATTGAGAAACAATGAAAATTGTTGTTGTTTTTGTTTCGGAGTTTTTGCATATATAAAAGAATAAAAAACAGCGAAAATAGGCGAATAGTTAGTTCATCATGTATAGGCATCAATCGTTGAAACAATAAAAACGTATTTGGTAGTCGCCCAGATCGAAAAGAAATCAAACGTGTTCATAAATATGACAAAAGACAAATATGTACAAGTTTCATACGTTCTGATATGGATAAAAATAAAGAGATTATCCTGTTGAAGCACGTATCATGCACAACATTGAATATACTCACATTCATGGAAACAAATGTATTTACTCAGTGATGATCACCTTATGCAGATAAATAAGAATTAGACAGACTATGAGTGTAATCATTACAAACCTATTTTGACAAAAATGTTTTGTTATGATTTGAATACACAGAACATTTCATTTTTTTCCCTAAATGTTAAGGATGAAAAGTTTCCGGCAATATCGATTTATCATCTAATTTGAATACAGTCTGTAAATATCTATAAAAAAAAATGAAAGTTCCGCTGCCATGCAGATATTTATTACTATTGAAATACGTTTAATCGTATAGTATTATTTGCTATTTAAGATGATATTGAATCATTTTAAATCCAATCTTTTATCATCAATCCGTTTAACATTCTTATCCGTTCGTTTTAAACATTCCTATGTGTTAGGACTTCGACGTGAAGATCAAAGTCCATGGGAAAGACGAACACCGCTAGCTCCACAACACGTTCGAAAATTGGTAAAAGATAATGTCAAAGTTCTCATACAAGCATCCAACAGACGAGCCTATCCCACAGCCGTATGTAGCCTTTTAGAGTTATTCAAGAAAATACTACCGTATACCTATATCATCAAATAGGCCTATATACAAGCAGGTGCCATTGTTCAAGAAGATTTATCTGAGGCATCATTAATTCTTGGAGTTAAACAACCACCTGTTGACTTAATTATTCCAAATAAAGTTTACACCTTTTTCTCACATACACACAAAGCGCAGGAAGCAAACATGTCGTTATTAGATGCATGCATTGAAAAGGTAAAATAACTTTAATAAACTTTTCTTTGCATTTTTGTATAATTTTATGCCAATAACGTTTCTATCTAGTATTTATTGTTTTTAGAACATCACGTTGATCGATTATGAGCGTATTGTTGACGACGATGGTGTACGTCTAGTTGCCTTCGGAAAATATGCAGGTGTTGTTGGAATGATTAATATTTTGCATGCAATGGGACTCAGATTTTTAGCATTAGGACACCACACGCCATTCATGGTGAGAACAATATTTTCAAATGATCCATACTTTTCTCAACGTCCTACACGTTTTTAACCACAGATGAATCCATAGCGATAACTTTGAATACATATTCACAACAAACTAATAGCAAAGCTTCCACTTTGTCTATTTTTCTATTTAGCATATTGGTCCTGCTCATAATTATCGTAATAATGAACAGGCTCGAATGTCAATCCGTGATGCTGGCTATGAAATATCATTGGGATTAATGCCAAAGTCGATTGGACCATTGACAATCGTATTTACAGGATCAGGAAATGTTTCACAAGTAACTAACTGAAAATACTACAACACTCTGTTTCATTCTTTTTCTCTTCCCATTAGGGTGCTCAAGAAGTATTTCGAGAATTACCCTTTGAATATGTCGAAGCAGACGCTTTAAAACATGTGGCTGTATCAGGAGGTTAGGTGTGAATATATGTCATTATTCTATAACACAATGAACAAATAAATACAAATTATTTTACAAATAACTTATGTGCAAAGCTCAATACTCGTTAATCAAACAGGTTTACTAAAATTTCTTTCCTATTTTAATTTGTTTAGATATTCGAAAGATTTATGGCTGTATCATTAAACGGAAAGATCATTTGGTAAACAAAGAGACAGGAAAATATGATGCAGATGAATTTGTTAAATATCCTGAACGCTACACATCAATATTTAAAACAAATGTAAGTTTATATACGATACGCCTGGAAAAAAATAGTTGCATACAGTTTTTTCAAGATATTTTCCTTATGAAGATATACTTTTACAAAAATGATCCCGTATTCTGATAGCGCTCGAAATTCTCTATCGCCCTGTATATAAATGTCTGGACTTGCACTTATTTGCTGAAAAATATTTCGAGTGCAATGAAGGTACCCTCATCCTTAGATTCCCACAAATTCCATTTTTTCTTCCTTTTTCATTCGTTTTTTAAAGTTATTATGAATACGGAGATATCCTTTGCCTGCCTTAAAGTGCACTTGTTTGCCGATAAATTCTTCAAATATTTTCAATGTACCCACGTGTCACACTTCTAGGTATTGCATTCTATGGTTTATCGAAATATTTTCCAAGTTTTATTGGAAATTAGGATGATATCTCTGTACATAGTGATTTATCCAATGCCGCACACTTTTAATAGTGTTAAGATCAGGTTTGACAGGTGGATAATAAGGCAGGCAATGTACAGGGTGATGGAGGATTTCAAGCGCTATTAGAATATGTAATAACTTTAGTAAAAAGATTTCTTCTTATTCATAATAACTTTAAAAAACGAATGAAAAAGGAAGAAAAAATGAAATTTGTGGGAATCTGAGGATCAGGGTGTCTTCATTGCACTCGAAATATTTTTCAGCAAATAAGTGCA